GCGAGAGCCGTACAGAGCATTATTGGCCCAAAATCGAGGAAGTACGGAGCGAGCGTAGCGAGGCCGGTAGAAAAACGATCGGGGCCAATATTTCCCAATGCAGCTCAAGCAAGCAATGTTACTAAGTGTTTTATCATGGCATTCGGGAAAACGTCCTTAATTTTATTTTTTCGGCTTTCGCGAAGAAAAATATACGGCTTAAGATCACTTCCGTGGAAGTACTCCGTATGGCAAGGTCCAGACCGAGCAAGAACTAATCAGAAAGCTTGCATTAACCTCAAGACTGTCGAGCCATTTAGTAAGTTGTTAGAGCCTTCAAGCTCGAGGTGTTTCCGTCGATAGCATATTTTCTCATGGAGCTATTTAGTGTGAAAATACATGTCCTTGCAACTTCTTACCTCGTGCTCGAGTTTTTCTGCTAAAAGTTCATTGTAGAGAAAGAGTCACACATAATCTCTAGTTTGTGTGTTTGCTTTTTTTTAGGTGAGGTTGCTGACTCAATCGAATTATTTTTGCTTAGCTTACTAATTGACATTCCCTTTTTTAGATTTTGACGTTCAAAAAATGCTCAATCGGTATCACAACCTCGTTCCCAGGGCCTTTTCCCTCAGCTGGGGGTGGCCCCACCCCCAGCTCCACCCCTAACTAAGGGAAAAGGCCCTGGGAACGAGGTTGTCGGTATCAGTGACGTTGTATACTGACAAATCGCAGCTTCAACATCCGGGGCAACTCACGGGTCTTTGACTGTCGTCCCTTGAACCTTACCTGGGTGGGGTAGGGAATTTGAACCGGAAGTATCAAGTATTTTCACAGTAATATTTGTGGTTTCAAGTTTCAATATGGAGGTACTTAAAGCGAATGGCTCAGAAAATAGAGTCTACAAGGTCTAGGTTTTGGAGCTTGAATAGTCAAATCAATCGCTGATCGTACCTTTTACAAAAGATGTGACAATGAAATGAGGGTTTCAAGGAAAAGATGGCTTTCACGGCTAACGGTTACACTTTTCGGCCATTTTATACGGCTAATGCTAATTTTTTTGCGGTTACAGTTTTTAGAACTCACGGTGAAAATTTATCTGATTTTACGCCTAACGGCTAATTTTTGCCGTTTTACAGCTAACAGTTAACCCCATTGAGAACCGCTAAGATCTAGCACCTGGGCAGGACATTTGAACATGATTTTGACCCAAGAGAGCTGGAACCAACCTTCAAAACTTAAAATTTCTGAGGGGAGGCGATGTTGAAGCTTTTATAATCGCACCATTTTTTCTTCAAGCGTAATAGTTTCAGTATCCCTCCACCTAACGATGTCATCTCTTTGATAATGATACGAGCCTGCTTTCTTTTGAGCTTTTCATGAGCAAAGTTCATTTGCCTCTACTTGGGGCATTGATTTCCGCTGTTTTACGGCTACCGACGCTCGTTTCAGTTTTGGTCAATTTTCTAGGATAAAGAAGCAAGTCTGGGAAAAGAACTCTTTCCACGTTTCTAAGTTCACTAATAGGTATCTCTGGGTAAAATATAAAGGTTTTCAATTTTTCGATCATGTGCCACATTTTTCGATTGTCACTCGGTCAATTTAAGCATTCGCTCTTACAATAACTAAATGGTCACTTATCCGTCATTGAAAATTCCATCGCTAACCTCAGCCTAGAATACCCGGTAAACATGTTCTGGATAAAAGGAAGAATCACTACTTAACTGAGGTTCACAATCAATCGCCCAGATTACTACTCCTCAGTTTGTGGAATGGTAAAAATTAATGGTTAAGTCCACAAAATCAAACATTGGAGCAAAATCCAATGACAGCTAGAGATTGGTTATCCGGTCCTTTTATAATATTTTCACTCTGTTGAATTGTCTTGATCGGTGATCTAGAAGATACAGTTTACAGTTGATGTAACCTGATTTACTAGCTGTCCTTTATTGTTGTTACGGGTAGTCACCAAAAAAAAAAAAAAAAATGGAAATTTACCAAGCGTACAAACACAGTACTTACAGAACACATTGATAGCCTCGGTCTTGGAGTTTTTTCCACATCTATTACTTGCTTCACATGTGTACTTTCCAGCATCATTTCTGCTAATGCTGGTGAAATTTAATAGGATCCCAGCATGGTGCTCATCATTGATAACTTTGATCCAAGAAAGACTTGGCACAGGAACCCCAGATACCTCACAACTCAGGTTATATGGGAAACCTTCCATTGCAGTGTTTGGAGAGATAACTACACTGTCCACAGATGGAGAATCTGTAATTAAATTGATAAATGATTTTAATTTGGAAATTTTGTTTTTAGACACCAAATATCCACAGATTGCAAATCCTGCTACTCTGATTTTCTATACACCTTAAATTAAGGCTTTTATCTCCTTTTATAGGAAATAAGCATGGGAAAATAATTATCTTATTCTGGTAGGGTGCGGGTTGTGCTTGCGTAGTACCACTTGGCCTCTTGCCTTTTCAATTTTTAGCTTTGCACTCACATTTCTGGAATTTCTGGGTAAAGCTTTTTAGAGTCTGTAGGAAGTAAGGTTCTCGTGCTTCTAGACACCAACCCCTGCAACGGTATACTTTCCATAGACTCTTTTGGTGTGTTTGTTTGGTCCAGCAGGGCTAACTATGGGTCTTTGTTGTCGTTGAGAGCATTTTTGAACTTAACATTTTTCACAGCGGATGTTCGGAAGCGAAACGGGAAATCCAAACAAACACTTTAATTCCAACACGGTAAAATGTAGACTCACGGTAAACGACAACGACCATTAAACAAAAACTGCTACTCGATAAACTGAAAACTTTTCAACTCCCTCTAAAACAATAGCACACTTCAAAATTAAAAGGTCCGCGTGATTTGCTTACGATATTATTAGCCTACGTAGTCCCAAAGCACGCGCACGCGAGTCGCACGCGCACAAGTTGGTTAACGTCTTCTTAACATTCCCCTCCCCACGCTGGGAGGTAGTCCTAGTGTGTTTCCAACTAAGCAATTAACAGTTAATTCCAAGCGGAACCAGTATGTTACTCGGTCTCATGACAGTCTTGACACCACACGCAACTTCAGCTACACGGGTGTGGGCATCTCGTCCAGGATACTTTTCAACAATCCGTCCTAATAGCCAATGTCCTCTTGGGGTATCGGGCTGGATTACAAGGACTACATCCTCAACTTTTAGGTCTCGACACTCTGAAGTCCACTTTGGTCGACTTTTAAGGGCTGCAATAACTTCCTTGAGCCATCTCCTCCAAACTCGTGAAATAATGTCTTGAACCTTTCGCCATCGTTGACGCGGATGCAAAGTAGTGGTTTCAACGGCCTCAGTAGCGAACTTTCCTCCCATTTGGCCGTGCAAGAAATGGAACATCGTCTCGTGGATCTGACCTCTGATAAGTCAACGGACGGAAATTAAGAAGAAACTCCACCCCTGCGAACACGGTGATTAAATCCTCGTCGTTCACGTGCCGTTCTCCAACAACGGTGTAAGTGGCTTTTTTAGCAGCTTTCACGATTACTCCATGGGCTCCTCCAAAAATTTGGGGCAGCTGGTGGATTGAATCTCCATGTCACTCCAAGTTTGACTGTCTCGGTCTGAAGATGTGTTCGGTCTAACTGACGGACTACTTTCTTTAACCCGCTCACTGCACTCACGAAATTTGTGCCTCTTTCGCTTGTCACTTCTTTAAGAAATCCACGACGACTGGTAAAACGTGCGAAGGCGTTTAAGAACGTGTCGGTATCCAGCTCCCAGGCCATCTCTAAATGCACTGCTCGTGTTTCCAAGCAAGTAAAAAGGCACAGCCACCTTTTCTGTCGTGGTTTTCCGCGTCTTTGAATAGCATTGAAAGGACCTGCAAAATCTACGGCTGTTTGGGCAAAGGGTCTGAGGCTGAAACAGAGCCTCATTTGCGGGAGTGGGGCCATAATCTGACAAACTGGCTTGTTTCGTCTTCTCTTACATTCGTTACATTCACGATCCCACTCGCGAATCTCCTCGCCTGCGGCGATAAACCAAAATCTCTCACTCAACTGGCAAAGAGTGAAGTTTACTCCAGCAGCATGATTTCCTCTCTCGTGATAGTGCTTCACAATAAGTTTCGTCACCCAGTGTCCACGAGGTAGAATGATTGGAAATCTGGTATCATATGGAAGAAAACCTGCGAACTTTAATCGGCCATCACTGTGGATAACTCCATCGTCGTCGATACACGGGTTAAGCTTTATCAACTGGCTTTTCTTTGGTATCGGCTTCCCTGAGTTCAAAGCTGTGTACTCGTCACAAAAAGCGTTGCGTTGTGCCAAGCGCACTATTTTCTCCTTCAGCATCCTTTAATTCTTCGGTCAACAGTTCCATACTTTCATTCCTATTGTTTCTGTTGCACATGTTTTGTAGTACTCTTCTCACTCTCGCGTGTACTGGAACCAAACGTGTCCAACTGGAAAACCGTTTCGGATCTAGTCTCCACTCTTTTAGCGTGTTGCTCTGTTTCGGTGCGGTTCCTTTCTGAAGATTACTCGTCATGAGGGTTGCATAGGCATTCATGTATTCTTTCCTTTTCGAGTTTCTCATCTCTGGCATTTCACTAGGTCTGTCCGGGACTTTCATCTTTGACCACTTACTGACATCATCTGTCAGCCAGTCAGGACATTTGGCTAGTTCTGAAGGCGTGACCCCTCTTGCACATAAATCGGCTGGATTCTCTTTGATAGAGACATGCTGCCACTGCGACGGCTCAATAAACATCTATATGGTTCAGTGGCGCGACTTTACTCTTTGCTGCCATCAGGCGACAGGTTACATTATCGTTATCGTATCCGCAGCGGATGTAGACTACTGCACCATAAGCTTGTTGAGAAGCATCGACAAAACTCACAATGTGCTTCGACTTAACAGGCTCTGGACTTCGCAGACACCGAGGAATCGTCACCTCGTGCAGACTTTTCAATTGCTCGAGCCAAGTCCCGATTTTGTTGGCTATTTCATCTTGAACTTTGTCGTCCCAGTCGTAACCTCGCATCCACAATTCCTGAAGTAGAATCTTTGCCACGATGACGTACGGACATACGAATCCCAGTGGGTTAAAAATCGTTGCTACTTTACGCAGGACGTTTCGCTTTGTTGTCTGAAATTCCGGGGAAACCGGAGAAGCGGTAACGGTAAACACNGATAGGTCCACCAAGTTTTCCTCGGAGATCAACATGTGAATAATGGAGTTCAGCGTTATCAATGCAAATCAAAAGATCGACAAGTCCATCATTTTCGGGCTTGGGAAAACTGCACTGGGTCAGGTGAGGCCATTTATCCTGATGTTTGTTCCAGTTCACAGTTCGGTAACTACCTGTGACTTTCTGAGGACATGTTTTTACCCCGACTTCCTTTGACAACCTGCCATCTACACTTTCGATTTCAATTTGTAATGGCATGGACTGAAAAGTTTCGACGGTGTCGTTGAGAACATGACCATGAACTTTTTCGAAAGGCTCTTGCAGTCCTAGTACCCCAGCAAACTCTTCATTTAGGAAAGTTTCGTTCGATGCGTCGTCTAGAATGGCGTTTATTTTTACTTTTTTTTCTATTTTTAAATGGCGTCCAAATAAGGAGAGAAAAGATCTTAACCTCCTGACATCATGCTTTAAACCTTTGCATAACACTAAGACTTTGCCAGATTATCTAAAAATCATAAAACACGCCAAAAAAAAAAAACACAAAAACAAAACTCGAACTGCGCCAAACATCTCTATTACACTAAATCGGGACTTTCCAAGATAAGGCATCGAGCCTTTATAACAATTTACTAAAATTAATTAAAACCTACAAAGATCATGAACCCTTTCAAGATAATTTTCATGCAGTTTTTGAAAGGTTGTTTTTAAAGTAGGGCTATGATATTCACTTCCAGATAGATCATTAAATCATTTAATGTGTCTGTCAATTGAATAGTTTCACAAGATGATTTTATTTTTCCTTGTATTTAATCAACTGCAAGTGTTTTGATAGGTTAATTAAAAAGAGAGCTATGGTATTCACTACCACGTCAATGTATAAGTCAGACATTTAATGCAATCTGATCATTATAGTGATAAGATTTTTCCTGGTATTAATTAAACTGTGCAAGAGAGGATGCGGCAGTGACAATTTCTTGTGACACTAAATAAAGACATGGACAGTGTTGATTAAACTCAGGCTGCTGATGTCATGATTTTACGAATCAACAGACTATGTTACATGTATTTGAAATGCTGTTTACAACGCACTCTACTTTCTTTTACTTGTTATGACATATCCTTTCAACTTATCTCGTAGACGACTGTCAGCATCACACACCTTCTTGTCAGTTTCCAGGTCCTGTTCTCTCAAGCCTTGCATAAAGGATTTCACACGTGTTCGACACAGCTTTTTTAAAAGTTCTTTAGACACTGCTCCAACGATGGCCTGATCTTAACCAGAAACCCCAATGGATTTCTGCGAGCTTACAAAACTGTCAAACAGTTCCTCGCTACCATAAATACTGGCGAAAACGGTGTTCAAAAAGGTAGATAGATTTTGCCTGAAAAACCGGCTAACAGTAAACTTTCGAGTGTGATTATCTGCCTTGCGAACAAATTCGACCATTTCGTCCTTCATAAAATGGAGTCCACCTTCATTTAAATGGACAACGATTTCTCGTGGCAAACTTTCCGTTGTGTCTCGTTTCATTTTCTGAATAATTTAAAGCTCCTTCTTTAAGTTTTCTCTGTGTGCATCTGTTACTTTCATGGTTCCCTTTTTGTGATTAACAGTATTTCTTCGCACCTTTTCCATTCGGTAAATTGCAGCTCAACCGAATCTGTGTAGGATAACATCGTTCTCAGCGCATAACTGGGTTTCTGGTGTTGAACTGTTCGATGCAATTTTACTTTTCTTTTCCGTCTTTGATGCCTTTTACTCTTCGTCGCTTTCGTCGTCTTCGCCAGCAGAGGCAAAGCTTTCACCTGAGCTCGCGCTCGCACTCGCGCTATCCTCGCTCTCGTTTTCGAAGCTGGAAATTTCAACATCTTCCTCAAAAGAGCTCGCATCCCTACTTCCGTTTGATTTGATATCACTTTCATCCTTCTGCGCTATGTACAGCATGGACCAGTTTTCTCCACGTGGACGGGAATTTTTTCCCACTCTTTTCATAATCATAGTTTTCAGATTCATCGACAAACTTGATTTCCACTACAGACACCATTTTCTCAAAACAGAACAGCAAAGCGGTAATTAGGTCATTGCAATTGACCAATCAGGTGTCTTTTCTAAAATAGCCTCGCAGCTTGACTACGAGCTAAAAGTAGGTTGAAAAAGATTATCATGGGAAGAGGCCCATGTATGGGGGATGTGTTCTCTCACCCTCATAGTCTCTTGTTACAGCTCGATAACCATATTGAGAAAACCTCAAAGCAGAACCTTTAGTGATAAATGAACCAATAAATTGTTTCCAACCAAACAAAAAGGGTTAAGGAGAACTATATCTGTAATTGTCGAATAGCCAAGTAAACTTATAGTTTCATTGGTGGATTTTAACTGTTTATATTCTAATAAGATACATAACATTTGGGCAGCACTCCTTTACCTCTTAGGTACACTCCAAGTTTTAATTTCATTACATGTTATTTGAGGTTAGAACATTATCTTCATGTTAAATTCTGGCCGAAATCCTTTGGATCATACTGCAAGCAACTATCAAGCTGTTATGAGTCCTGGTACCTAGTTCATTTTCAAAATTACTGCTGTTAACTGAATCAGCGAGGAATTCAAAGTAATGCTTTTTGATAGTTAGTTTACAGTTAGTTCACCATAACGTATTAACTTGTTATGTTTATGTTAAGGTATGACTGGCTAACAGTTGAATTTGATAAAGAATACCGTTATTTTTTAAAAAAAAAACCTGCTTAATTCACCGTGAACTTCCCTTACAGAACACTTTTATCGGGACCAGGCGCGCTTGAATTAATACTTATCGAACCTACTCTCTAAAGAACTCTCCTCAAGTATACAAATTGAAATACATATATCAACAATTCACATTAGTGTGAGTATGTAGGACATATTCCCGGGCCAGACGCATGTACGCTTTGCGGACTTATTTTTATCTGTCTGTGAGTGAGTGTGTGTGTGTGTGTGTGTGTGTGTGTGTGTGTGTGTGTGTGTGTGTGTGTGTGAGTGAGTGTGTGTGTGTGTGTGTGTGTGTGTGTGTGTGTGTGAGTGAGTGTGTGTGTGTGTGTGTGTGTGTGTGTGTGTGTGTGAGTGAGTGTGTGTGTGTGTGTGTGTGTGTGTGTGTGTGTGTGAGTGAGTGTGTGTGTGTGTGTGTGTGTGTGTGTGTGTGTGTGAGTGAGTGTGTGTGTGTGTGTGTGTGTGTGTGTGTGTGTGTGAGTGAGTGTGTGTGTGTGTGTGTGTGTGTGTGTGTGTGTGTGAGTGAGTGTGTGTGTGTGTGTGTGTGTGTGTGTGTGTGTGTGAGTGAGTGTGTGTGTGTGTGTGTGTGTGTGTGTGTGTGTGTGAGTGAGTGTGTGTGTGNCCAAAACAGTACTAAAAGCAATAAACTAGAAATTTGTTGCAAACAAGGCTCCCGCAAAGGTTGAAGAGTGGGAAGTTGTTTAAAGTACAAGGCACTTGCATTTACCGCCATGATATATTCAAACACTACTCTACATGTATAAAATTGATTACCTAAGGTCTTTCATACAATGGAGCTGTACAGATTTCATTTGCCCTTTATATTTCCTAGCCACAAGAGTTCATTGAGATCGTTAGCAAAGGAAACGAAAAAAATTAGTAGAAAACAGTGAAATTAGAAAAACTATAGACTTACAATCTGATAGAAAAAAAAGGCACGAGTAATCAATGAGGGTAACTTGAATAGTGCCAGCTAAATTATCCTCCATTGCATTTCATACTTTTTTTAAATGATTACCCTTTGTAGGGTTTGCTAACAGTTTTCAGTTGGTAAGAAGACTGCTTCTACAATTTAATTGCCTTCTACAGGTATATACTAAGAATAGATGGCTGTAAGAAAAAGTACACCTATGGATCCACCTCGTGTAAAGTACTGGTGTTGCTCAGATACCAAAGCTATTTAGAAATTAATAGGTAGCTCATTTTCAAATAGATGTTTATGCAAGAATAGACGTGTATTCATTTTTTACAAGTTCACAGAATTATATTGAACGCAAATTTAGATTTTGTGGAATGATAGATTCGCGTAAAGGAGCAGCATTGATGGCAACTGCTTTATTTTGTAATCGTATAAAGAATCTTTGATAAGAAGTGTGTTGACAAGAGAGTAGTAGATATTAATCAAAAATGGTTT